TGCAAGCGCTCTCTCCTGGCCGCCTCTGCCGGCCCAATTCTCAGGCCTGTCTAGTGCCAAGGAGCCAGGGAGGACCGCCTGGGGTCCGGGATGCTGAGAGAGGCAGAATGAGTGCTCCCAGGCGAGGGTAGGTGATGGATGTCACTTGGGTCCCCGAAGTCCCTGAGGCACAGGTGTCCCTTCCCTCGCGGATAACACTCTCTTGGTCACAGTTGGAAATCGAAGACCAAACGTGGGTTGTGCCTGGTGTTTCTCATGACCTATATACATCCAGGGGCAGGAGGATGTCCACTGAGGAACAAATGAAGGGGTTATTAGGAGATTTAGAACGCTTCCAGTGTGCAACATCGCAATATGGAATTAGTTCTAGGGATCCACCCATCCCCGCGGATTATTTACTCACTGTCTAAACTTAGTGGGGAGAACTGTGAATGAAAGGATATAGACGATGCCTAACTCCAGTCGCTCTGGTGTTCTCATATTTTAGAGGTAATGGTCTCTCTCGATGTCATGGGGAATGTTGCTGAACTACTTTATATCTGCCCCACCTTTATTCCAAAGAGCATTTAACACTTAAGAATCACCAACAAAGGAGGGAGAAAAAATGCTTCTTTCCCTTACAGACAGGGCCCTGAAATACAGCTTGCCTACTTCAAATGGAATGTGTCTTTCTTCGCTTTACTGTTGTCTTTTCACAAATAACTCCTTTTCAATTCTCCTTCTAAAGGAATGACCAGACCGACTTTCCCTGCACATAAAATCTGCGGGACGTTTTCTAAGTTCTCTTATTCTGTCCAAAGCTTTCTTAATTTGTTATTTATTTTAGATAAAGTTGGGATATTATATTGATTTTGTGTGACTTTTTAAAATGTTAACTGCCTCAGGCCCACGAGATAACTCACTTCGTTTCACAAAAACACCGAAAAGCATGAACCCAAAGATACCAGTTTTTGCTTACATAGTTGGGAAAATAAGCCTCTTAGTTGTGCTAAATCTGAAACTAAACTCCAAGTCTAAGCAATGCCTAAGCTTTGGATGGCAAACACGGCTTCCCCTGCTCTCCTGTATGTAGATATTTAAATTATATGCATCCATCCTATTAGTGTTTATAGATACTGAAAGGGGTCTAGGGACAGAACTTGAAATTAGAGGTTTGTTCATTGCCAGACAAGACAGACACATTACATTTCCTCTCATGGTTGGGGTAGAGATGTTTTCTAATGAGGATGACAAAAGAAACCAGGAACACATGACAAATCATCAGAAATAACACAAAACCAGCACGAATCCTAATCTTTAGGGTAGTTTGTTAATTTAGCACATGATGGACATCATAAAATCAAAATAAATAAGCTACATTGACCCTTAGAACCCAAATTTCTTATTGTTTACTTCCAAATGGTATGAGCCACAGAAGACAGTCTTCAAATGCCCTACACAGAGGTGCCCTCATCCACATTCAAATCCACATGTTCCCAGTAGGTGACTCCTCATCACTGTGTGTTGTCCCCTTACTCACATAAGGCCATTTTGTGGCCACCAAAATTGTGTATTAAATATTTTAAGAGCACACTTAGGATTGAGGACATCTTATAAATACAAATGTAAATAAATTGATAACCTATAAATAAATTATCATTGAATAGAGTATTTGTGGTTATACATAAATAAATTATAACTACTTGTAGGCCTCCCTCTTCAGATGCTAGGAAGAATCATATCATCCCTTAATTGATTTTCAACCTGAGTTCTAGTCCTGAAAGACTTTTTTAAAATATGATTTTGCTTATTATACCATTATTTCAAAAGTGGTTTGTTATGAGAAACGCCTCAAGCCAGTTTGTATCCTGCGGCATACACTATGTAGAATATGTTCTATGATAAAGGTGCAAGCTGTATATTAGTCCCTTCACATATCCTGTGAGAAAGGCCAGTATCAAAGACATTTAATCAGACTTATCACACTAGTAAAATCTACACATCATGAATTATTCAATAAGATACAGGATTTTCATTTCTTTCACTGTTTTTATAAACTTTTTGGATGACATACTAGCCTAGAACTGACTCACAATAACAACTCCATGTACAAATACTAGATCTCTTGCACCCTCATAGAAAGCTTAGTTTCCCCAAAATGCCTGTAGCTCCATCTCTGAGGTGGACAGAGACAGGAGGATTTCTAAGGCTAACTATCTTAGAAAGTATGAATCATGGTTTTTGGAAGACAGTTACTCAAAGGAAAAGGTGAACAGTGATGAAAGCAGCACACTGATGCTTTCTTCTGTCCTCTAACAGCCTACAGGAACATAATATCACGTAGATGCATGCAAAAGGAGAGAGAGAGAGAGAGGGATTAACAAAACTGCCAACAACTGGAAATGGAGGACTGCTATCCTCTATTCATGTGTGCAATATTTGTTTAGCCTTCAAAGAAATAGGCACATCACCTCATATAATTGTGAATTGAAATGTTAGGGGATTTGTTTCATTTGTTTAATAGTCTGGCTGATTCTCCTTGGTGAAAAGCTTCTGTTTTGTTGTTCAATTTCTTTTAGTTTCATTAAATTTACAAGACACTTATCAGTTCATTTCTCTAATAACTTGCACGATATAGTTTAGGGTTATAAAAGTGAATGGGGAAGGCTTGTAAATGTCTCAACAGGTACAAGCATTTGCCACTCAAGAATGATATAAATATGCCTCTTCCCTCTACACACGTATCAATAAAAACATAAAACAAAGTACTTTGGGGTTTTTCTGTTTGTTTGTTTGTTCTGTTTGAGGCAGGGTTTTTCTGTGTAGAACTGGCTGTCCTGAAATTCACTCTGTAGACCAGGCTAGTCTTGAACTTGAGATCTGCCTGCCTCTGCCTCCAGAGAGTGCTGGGATTAAAGCCATGTGCCACCACTGCCCAGCTGAAAGTCCTTTGTAAAAGGGAATGAAGAATGATAATGTGGCTATATTGACTATCACTATCAAGGATAATATATACTGCAAATGGTTTCAGTTTTCAAGTTATCTGCTAGAAGAAGTTAAGAGAAGTTGGAGCAAATATGACGAAAATAAATCATATTAAAGTCTCAAAGAATTAATAAAATATTTATGAAGATAATATAAAGAAGTAGGGAATGAAGAAGAAAAGCCAATGATTTTTAAAGTGTTTAGAGTCAAAATTTGCTATGTGCTAATATGTCACAGCACAAGTTAATATTCACACTTTATATCCTAAATATATGCATGGTGGTTTTGAAAAACTTCAAAGTAGTCATGCCATACCTTAGGAGAAATGGGCATATAATTAAGGGTCAGCAGAAGTGGGACAGAAAGAAAAGAGCTGGGGGGGTTGAGGCACAGCCAATGAGTTGTGATACTGCTGTTCTGAATGCTCACAATTTGAGCAAAAAGTCCAAAGAAGAAGCTGTCCTAATTTTTAAGTGACTTCACAACCTAAGCAATACAAGCATTTCTGAGGTTGAAATCATCTATTTTTGTGAAACTAACCCTCTACCCCGTTGGCATGTTGTTGGTGGTGCATATAGCAGATTCCTTATGAGTGAGGAAAAGGTAGCTGTCATTATCATCACTCCAAAGCAAAGTTATTGACTGTCTTCTTAATATTAAATCCAATAACTGTTGACTTGTTGCTCAAGTATTGATTGTTTCTTGAGATCAACATATTAAAGTAAGGGCTTGCAACACCAATGTATAATATTTTCTATACACAGAATATTAAGTTCTGATCTTGTATTTGGTATAAACTAAGGAGATAAAGGCTACAAGAAAATTTAATTTAAAAAATCAGGTAAATTAAAACTTTTTATAACCAATATGTGTCATGACTAACACAAGAAAAGAAAGATTGGATTAAGTTTTAATTTTAATTTGGAAATTTCTTATGGACACTCCTGGAAGAATTGCGTAATATTAAAATATCCTTTAGGAGAATGCCATCCTACTCAAGGCTTTAAATCACTACAAGCTGATTAGCTAGTGCATGCTTCCTCATTTTTGACCTAGGTGATAAGATAATGCTACACATGATACAATCATTGTGTTGTTTCATTGTATACAATAAACATACAGTGTTATATAAAATATTTTTATAAATTAGGTACCAACTGTAGCACTAAAAAATTTCAGAGACAAAAAGTAGAGTGGTGGTTGTCAGGGCTGGAGGTAGAAGATAAGAGAAGGGTAGCTGTGTAATGTGTACAGAGTTAAAGTTTGCTGAGACTAACATGGCTTGTGAAAATTCTTGAATATGCTTAAAATAACTACAGTGTACATTCAAAGTGCTTAATATGGCAAATTTTTAATAAAACCTAACACAAGTATCAGGAATTTGTAGACAACAATGACATTTAAAAATTGCATCCCAGCCTTTGGCTGGTAGTACACTCAGCATCCACAACACTTAAGAGCTGAGGGGGATAGCCAGGAATTTCAAATCAATCTTGGCTATATAGAAAGGCTGTCTCAAGAAAAAAAATATCCAAAACAAAGAACTCACCCATTCTAAGTAAAAGAGAGAGAAAGGAATAATTAAACATGGGGATTCAGAGCAATGTCATAGTTCAGATTCTGTGGGGACAGGAACTTACAAACATCCAACCAGCATAGAACTGATGATTACAATGAAAACCATGTCAGTGTGCAACAAACAAGTCAATACTGGATCAGATCCTGGAACAGATTTTGTTTTTATATTTTTCTTTAAAAAAACTAACAGTGTAACTGACAAAACATGAATAATATCTATGATTCAAATTTCTTTCATTTCCTCTTTGTACAATGATTGAATAAATGACTGCCCTTGCTTTAGGGAAAGTAG